GGGCACACTTATGCCTGCACTTTTGCACCCTTCCTTAAAAACCGTGCCTGCAAAATCGGAAACTATGTTGAGGCTCAGCTAAAAACAAGGCATATTTTGTCATACACAATATACAATAAAATGTTGGGAATTATATATAGTTTTAGCATCTTTTATATTGGGTTTTAGTTGCGAGTTCAAATTTGACCATACCTACCTAGATCTGGTAGACAATGACTCATTCTCTGTAAGTAATTCTTAATCACTTATGTGTGTTTAGTGACAACAAATATTTTAGTACTAATCATAGAACAAACTTAACTGCTTCCAATCCACAGGGCATGATTAAGCTGGGGGTAATAACTCCTCTAACTGCCATGCTGTCGTTATAAGATGCTGAGAAAAAGCTAAATAGGAGCCTCACATAAATTATTGTACCTTGTAAAATGTTTACCAGCGGTTTTGTAGCCAGCAATACAGTAAGCTTGAAAAAGTAAGTAATATAATCATCCATGATTAATTAATTCACAAATTAAAATAAATTAATTTTATTTAAGCGAACAAATGTAAAATTTTCTAGGAGCTTTGTGAAATGTAATCTTTAATATTATCTAAAATATAATACCGTGCTACAGAGAGTCCGGGCACTCAATTTCTCTTCTTCTTGTCCATTGCCCCCTCAGCCTCTGCGAGAAGAATGTTTTAAGGCACTGTTCAAAGATCTGATAAAAACTCTACTTGTGTTCACCAGTCGCTTGCCTAATTTCCAGAATATTTACCATGGCTACATGTATAAATCAGATATTTGCAAATGATATTTCTGCTGAGAGCCACTAACTATACATTTGCACATCCAAATACAGGCAGTGACACCATTGTTTCCTGAACATTGCATTTTAAGTCGAAATGTTGTAACTTGTAGCTGCAATGCAGTCCACTGCGGACTGAGTGTCATAAAGTCTAAACCAGTGGTCATAAGTCAAATCAGGGTCAATTCAGAAATGTCTTAAGTGCCATTCATCTTAAATCAAATGTCATAAAGTCAAAGGCTGCCTCTACCCAGGTTTCATGTATAGCCCCTGTCACTGCTCATACGCAGTTGTGAAAATTAGGTCCTTCATTTATTTTTTATATTACACATTTACTTTCTTACTAGCCAGAAACAGTACTAATCATAGTAGTACCAGTGTAAATGGTATACATTTTACAAATATGCCATTTAAGTTAGTCATAAACTAGAGAAAACATGGCTTTTAATCCACATAGACTTTCTAAAATGGTATATCACACATTCTGTCACAAATAAGGTTCTCCAGAATTAAGTCTTTCAGCACTAGTGAATATATTGGAATAAAGTGCAATACTGCATACTTATTAATAAGACCAATCTTTGTTTTAAGTAAAACATACAACTGTATTGTATTGGCTGTTTTCTTTGACAGCTACATCTAGAATTTTAAAATTGTATAGGTGACATATCAGGAAAAATTAAATTCACCAGCAATGTTGTCTTGAAAGAAAAACATTCCTTTATTATAATGAATGAATTTGTGTGCTAGGTCTGAATGCCAATGACCTTTAGAAAATGAGCCACCGACCCAGAAACTGATGAGAATCAGCCAGAATAAATGAAGCAGAAGGCTTTCCCCAGCCTAACAGAGTTTGCTGGCAGACCAAATTCATTTTACAATTAAAAGAGATATAGTGGTCAGTAGGGAACATTTAATGGGAACAAACATAGAACTAAATCATTTAACCTATTTTCCAGACTGTTTCTTCTCAGACGTGTTACACTGTACTTCAGTTCATTAAACTGTGAACACATAAATCATACGACTTCCCAGGATATTTATAAGGACTTCTAGAGAGATTTTGTATAAACTTTCCATGTATATTCTCACAGATATGGAGACTGTCAACCAATGTCTCTCAATAATTGGGCTCTGTGCAGATGAAATCCTTCCTTGGCTGCAGATATTAAGCTAGCTTAGCATCTTTAAACAGAAAAATCACATACATTTATTTCTCTTCCAGTTAAATAAAAATTGTCTAAGGTATTTGTAAAGGGAATATTTACTCCTCCACCATCCACTCTCTGTGAAAGTTCATATAGACAAAAATGCTTTAGTGAGTGATTTTCCAAAGGGGTATATTTATGATATTTTGTAGTAACCTGGTTGTAGCAAGTCATCCTAGTAGAGAGCTACAGTTTCTGATGAACACTAGGGCCAATAATCACTTTCTGGAAGTCTCTTCTGAATATACTACAATGATATATTCCTAGGCATATAAATAGAATTTACAATGGGTTTGTAATACAAGGGGAAAACCTATTCCAATAACAATGCAATGCAACCTATTTAATTTTAGATAAAGGAAGGCAACATATAGTAGCGGTTCACTTAGGAAAACTGGAGCTAGGAGGCCTGACACTCTATTGATTTGTTTTATGTCCTTGAACAAGTCACTTAGACCCTCATTCAGGAAAGCAGTTAAGCATATTCTTCAACTTTAAGTATGCTGTCAAGGACTCTTCCTCAGGAAAACGGGTGCTTTCTTGAATCAGGGCCTTAATATCTTTGTTCATCATTTTCTCCATTTGTATAACTGGAGAGATAATATTTGCTAAAGTTTCCCATATTATACTCAGCACAGTCTCTTTTTTGCTTGTGAAATATATGCAAACATTGAAACTTCCTCAGATTTATTCATTACTCAAACATATTTGATGAATTTTTAAAGAATATTTTCACATGTGGCATGATCATACAGTTAACTGTGAACATTCAGTGCTCAATTTTCAACATTCCACACAATGTTTAGTGTTTTTAGCTGTGATTAGTTAGATACCTCACCTAGGATTGGTTTTGTTCATGGATTGGATGTGCATACATGCACTTTTGGGTGCAGTTATTTGTAAGTGTGAAGCATAACATTTGAATGCACCTTTGAAATTAATGTTTGGTGAATATTTGCGAAAGTAAAGCTCATTGAATATTTGCAACAGTAAAGCTCATTTGGACGAGTGGTTCCAGAAAGGGTATATCTCCGGGGGGGGCTTAACTCATGTTAACTAACCCAAGCTAGATAACAGGTTAAAAAGCAGTAAAAACATAGTACAGTAACTCGATTTTTAACTTGGGCTAGCAGTTAAAACCTGTAGAAGAGTAGGGGTTGAACATGAGCTGCTAACATAATTTAAAAAATAGAATTTTGCATCATCACTTCTAATTTAACCCAGATTAACTAACCCAAGTCAGATAGTGTGTGTTAAGAAGACACTTTTTTTTTTTTTTTATTTGCAGGGAAGAGAAATCCAAAGAGTGCAAGTATGATGAGAGAGCAAATTCATTTAAAATTGGAGTAGCTATTCATGGAAAATTTGTTGCGGTATTTTCCCAGCTCTAAATTGCACTTTAATAAAGCATTTTCACATCTTTTGATGCATTTTTATTATTATAAACCATTACAAATTTATTAAGAATATATTCATAATTTCTCTTTGTATAGGAGCAGAAGTGGTATCAGATTAGAAATGAGCAATTCAGAACAGACTATTAAATCATTTTGGTGATGGCTAGTTCTATGAGCCCTGCCATTCTTGGCTAGTAAAATGTATTATAACCATTTTGCTTTACAATATGAGGACAATACAAATATTCTAATAACTCAGGGCCCAATTCTGCAATTCTTATCTATGCTAAGAAGTCCCTATTTAAGTGACAGTAGAATTATTTGTCTAAGTAAATTCTACTCAGTGTAAGCATTGAAGAATCAGGCTCCCTGCAACAATTTGTGCCAAAACTCATTAGTGCTTCATATGTTCCTAAAATGCTGGGGAGATACCCTCCTCCCCCAACCCCACTTCTCCAGCCCTCAATGGTAATCATGTGATCCCAGCTTTGTCTTTATCCAGTCTTAAAAACTCCATTACCATAATGAACATGAATTAAATCCAGTCAGTGCTCTGTCCTGCTATGTGCATTAGCATTTGCAGTTCATAATAATATCTACAGATGAAAACTAATTCCTTTCGATTTAGTAGATTGCTCTGAAAATTCATCCCAGACTGTAACTTGCAGGGGTAGAACATCAGCATATTATGACAGTTAGGATAATAATAAAGAGAACTCTCATAAAAAAACCAGTTATGGAATTTAGACATAACAAAATTTAATAGTAAACTAAATGAATTTGGTCTACTACTTCTGCAAAAATAGCATATACTAAATCTTTTCTGTTGCATAATCTGGTAACCTGACTTCATCACAAATGATTTATGCAAGCATTTTACCAGTACTGTTTTAGTAGACTAGTTCCAAATTGTCTTTTGTAATAATAATTTCATGTAGCATATTGTGAGATATATACATAAAACAAAGATCTATTTGTTATTATCCATTTAATATGTTGCTATATATAAACTGTATGTTCTCCTGATCATTTTATTCATCTTTTTTATCCTTGAAGATAAACAGGTTATAAATATTGCATGTAAATCAAAACAATTTCTAACAATCTCTTTCCATTATATTCTGTATCAGTCAGATACCCAGTTCAATTTGCAGATCAATTAATTGAACAGCTACTACCATAAACCCAGTATGTTTTCCAAATGAATGCAGAAGATTGGTAGTTCTTGCTGCTATGTTCTTCAAAAGCAATAAATGAGGCTTTGCACTTGGCTTTCTTTCTAGTAAAGCTGCTGTTACCTTTTTACTGTTGATTTTGCAATAGAACATATGATAGATAAATAGTCAACAAAATCTTTCTTTCAAAGTATTAAAAAAATTAAGGGTACATAGCTATTATAATAAACCATAATATGATTTTACTGAAATTGTGACATATTATAATTAATATTAATAATAAGGTAGTTTAAATGTTAAGATGGACACGTCAGAAACAAAACCTTTTAATCTTAGAGTATTTCACACTTGTTAAACTGGAGCATTTGTCTGTTCATTATCATGGTAGACTGCACTAAGGTATTAAATAATTCAAATGTCACTGTTACTTACATGAAAATCGAAAAGGTCTCCCTCCTAGTCCACATTGTCTAACACGCTCACCATAGAAAAGCCCATACTGAATTTCACCAATAAACTTCTCCAGTTCTGGTCCTGTAGCATTGACAAGCAGAGCTCCAGTTTTGCACAGTATTGTTCCTTTGATCCATAACTGAGTTCCAACGGCTGCTGCAATGCCGAGAGCGCAAGCGAAGCTTAACACCCCAGCGATGCAAAAAATGAATTTCTTCTGTTGGGCTGGCATGGCTACTTGCAAAGTCCTTTCTCGAGAAGGAACAACACTTTTAATAAGAGAGCAAAAAGATCTTCATCACATCAGCACAGCAGACATACTGTCCAACCCGAAAACTGCAGTTTCAACTCAGTGACAGCCCTTCCCTAATGCTACTATAATGCTAAGTAATCTTCCTCCAAAGAACCTTTTAATTATTTTTCTTAATCCTAGTTTATATACAAACATTTTAAAAGAAGCTGTGAAATAAAACTAGTTGCAAGATTTTTCTCAGCATATCCTCTGTGTTACTTGATAACAACGGTTTAGGATAACAGATGGAACCCTCTGTGTAATTTGATGAATGTTTCTCCTCTGTCCTTTGGCTGATTGGTGAGCTGAAGATTACAGAAACGTTTGGCTATCATGTGAAGTTATTAGCTGTCCAACGTCTGTAGATAGTTTTAATTTTCTAGACATAGCTCTAAAAGTTAGCAACACATAGCATTTTTCATTGCTTTACTATTCCTTGTGCTCTACAGAGAACCTGAGACAGACAAAAGTCTTAGGTGGAATGTCCTTTTCCCCATCATGATCCCCTTTACAATAGAGCTAGTATGTTTTGCTAATGTTTTAAACCATACTTTTTTAAAAATATGTGGCTGGATGCCAGCTTCTGGATGAAGTTTGGACAAATACATATTTTGAGTTTGGATTTCTGATATAAGCAAATAATTTCCATTTGTCTTACTCTTTTATAAATATGTTATTCAGAGCAGTTATGTATTTAGATCCTGATTTTGCAAATATGAATATGACCAGTTTTTTATGTTTGAGAGTTGGAGTCAGTGAGACTACTCATGTGCATAAATTTATTATGCACATGTTTTTATGTGTTTGCCAGATCAGGGCTTCAGAAAGGACTAGATGTATAGGTGAGTAGCTTGGGATGATTCATTGATTACTTGCTATCTCAAAGCTTTTTTATAAAACACTAGGGGCCTTGTCTGTACTAAAAGGTTGCATCAATTTAATCAAGCCAGTTAAGAAAGGGATTTAGTTAACTGAGTGCAAACCCTTTGGATGGACACTCATATTTAATAACACCTTATATCAATTAACCTTAACGGATTCCTTACTAACTTAAGATAAATCCATTACATTAATTATTTGCACGACTTTAACAAATTGATTTTAAAACAAGACTTTTTGGTTAAACTGGTACAGGATTGTGCATCAACAAGACCTAAAATGGGATAGTCTTCTGTTGGCTCATAGTTGTGATTGTGGATGTAACCAAGACTGCTTTTTCATTACTGTCCTTTGAGGCAGATTTATATTATAATCTGCAATACATGCATACATGTTGTAGCAGTACAGGTTGGACCTCCCTGGTCCGGCGCCCCTGGGACCTAACTAGTCCTGGATGAGGGATTTTGTTGGACTAAGGGAGGTCATTTCTGGACCCCTTGCTACAAGCCACCCCGCCTCCCAGCTGGCTTCTCACCTCTGGCAGGGGCATCCATTGCTGTCCCATCTCTGGACCTGTCGGGCAGCTGCACTGGGATTCCAGGACCTGCAGAACAGCCTCACATGTCGTGCTGGGGTTCTGGGACCTGCTGGGTAGCCGCGCACTGCGGATCCGTGCCCCACCGACCTACTGCAGCTCCCAGCCCCACTGGGCAGCCACACACATGTCTCACAGCCCCGCAGGGCAGACCTGCTGCCATGCACTGACGGTGGCCTCGCTGCGGGCAGCCCACTGCTCTGCCGGCACTGCAGGAATCCTTGCCACTGACCCTCCACCGGGACACTGATCCTGAGCATCTGTGCCAGACCATGGATGTTGCCAGACCAGAGAATCCTGGGTAAGAGAGCTTCAACCTGTACTTAATTTTAAGGATGATTTTGAAAATTCCTGGTTAAGAAGAATGCTCTGAACATTCCCAGGTAACATACTATACAAACATCACAAGTACAAGAACATGGAAACCGTACACAAAAAAACGCCTGAGATTCATTTGAATGAAAATACAGTACATAATTTAAAAATGAAAGAACTGGGTGCTAACAGCACCACCTCTTAAAGGGGATTTTATCTGATCAGGGCCAAATTCTTATCCCCTTTCTCATTTTGAGTAATAACTTATTCCACAGACAGTTCCATTACAATAATAGTGTTACTTGTGGAATAAAATAGGATTCCACATGAGCAAGAGTATCGGAGTCTGGCACTCATATTTTAGCGTTTAATTTAAAAGAGATCTGAAACAAAAAACTCAAAGGGTCAGGCTTAAGACTCTTGATTTCAAGGAGGCTGGCTACTCAGAACTGTAAGGAAAGTATTACTCCGTATAAGGGTGGGGAGTTTTGCCTTTCATCTTCAATTTAGCTACACTCCAGTTGCACTCTGCTGGCCTAATTCAGGTTTTACACCAGTGTGAATTAAGAAGGAGCTCAGCTAAATCAGTGGCACTTTTAATTGTAAGAGTGGGGAATTGTTTGATGGGGAAGCAGATTTGTGATGGGTTGCTTTTAAAATCACTGTATATAAAACAGTGATGTAGCCTTGGGTGAGCCTTGGGATAATTTCCTTTTAGCATATTTATAAACCTAAATACATACAATATTCTAGTGATATATGAGGCAGATGTTACACTTTCAGGTTTCTGCAAATCCTTGTTCATGCAAGCGGTCATGAACGGTGCACAAATGGCACCCTTGAAGTCAATGACACTACTCACAGAAGTAAAGGTCCGAAGTATTATTATTATTATTTCACTAATTTATTTGAAGTATTATTATTATTATTATTATTTCACTAATTTATTAATAATGTATTATTATTAATAATAAAGTAGTAAATATCTGAAGTATAATTTATTATTATTTCATTAATTTAACAATTCTACTGAGGTAGCATCTAGAGACCTAAGATCAAGTACCCCATTGTGATAGGCACAACCTCTCTTTATTGAGACTAAGTTTCCAACTAATCTATGGCCATATTCTGTTATCCTTACTTCCACAAAATGGCACTACTGACTACTCGTATTCTGAAGGGAAAAGGCTGTTGAAATCTCGCCCTTAGTAATTAAAGGAGTGCTCACTATTAGCATAGCTCTGCTCCTATTGAAGGCAATGGTAAAACTCCATTGATTCCAAATGGGAACAGAATTGGGCCAATGCTGAGCACTTGTTCAAATTTTGCCCTGTATACTGAGCTATCATAACAGAAATGCTTATGATTAAAAGACACGGCAGAGCCTTGCTAATCCATATATCAAACACTCGCCCTCTCTAAATCACACAGATCTCTTTGTGCCTCCCCCTATATCACTAAAGATTTTTATAATGAAGTTCTACATAGTGATGTTACAAATAAACCCTCACTGTTTTTAGAAAATAGGATGCAGTACATCTATGAATTCATTCTTATCACAAGTAATTCAGGCTAAATTTCAGTTGCTCTGATAAACAAGTGAAGTGTATTTTTCTCTTGGGATCAGCCTGCCATTGGTCAGACCAGGGAGCAGAGGGACTTTGTGCACCAAATGCTTTCACAAAGAACCACTGAGGTGTCAACTCATCAGCCCACACCCAGCAAAAACCTCCAGCCAGTGCAAACACTCCTGTCTTAGGGTACGTCTAGACTACAGGGTTTTGTCGACAGAAGTTTTGTCGACAGATACTGTCGACAAAACTTCTGTCGACAAAGAGCGTCTACACTACATTCAGTTCTGTCGACAAAGCAGGCTGCTTTGTCAACATGGTAGTGTAGACGCAAAGGACAGTTTACATGCAATAACACCTTCTGTCGACAGAGTTTCTGTCGACAGAAGGCGTTATGCCTCGTAAAATGAGGTTTACCAGCGTTGACAAAACTGCTGAGTTCTGTCGACATTATGTCGACAGAACTCAGCGGTAGTGTAGATGCAGGTATAGTTTTGTTGACAAAAGTCCACTTTTGTCGACAAAACTCTGTAGTCTAGACACACCCTTACTCCCAGTGATGCACATGCTAGGGTAAATAGGAGCAAACACGAGTAAATGCCCTCTCAAGGCCCTCCAAAATGGGTGCTTAGGTTGTTTGCTTATATAACTAAATACTCCAAGTCCTGCTCCATTACAAAAGTAGCTGAAGTTCCTTAGAACAATACTTTTAGGGTTCAATACAAATAGTGCAAGCCCTGAGCAAAGGAAAGCATCCAATTGTGCTGTACCAAGAGCAGAATCGGAGCATCATAATCCAGTTGTTGATTCCTTCCTGGCTGCAGGAGGGAAGGAAATTAACTGATGGCATAGATTACTTTGCTGTTTGAGCAAGCTCAGCTGCACTGGCCAATGTAAAAGCCATGGCTGGATAGATAGATACATACTGTGCACTGGCCCATGTGCTAGCCTAGAGGCAGAGCCTGTACACTAGGCAGAATAGAAGCTCTGCAGAATATTGCAGATATGCATAGTCCTCACTTGGGAAAGAAAGGGCTTTTTAATGCCTCCTTACACACCTAGGCTACGTCTACACTGGCCACAATTTCTGGAAAAGCCATGCAAATCAGGTAAGTCAGGATAGGGAAATCCGCGGGGGATTTAAATATCCCCCGCGGATTTAAATAAACATGGCCGCTGCTTTTTTTCCGGCTCGGGGAAAAGCCGGAAAAAAAGCGTCTAGACTGGCGCGATCCTCCGGAATAAAGCCCTTTTCCGGAGGATCTCTTATTCCTACTTCAAAGGATCTCTTATTCCTACTTTTCCTTTTCCCCTAGCCGGAAAAAAAGTGGCGGACATGTTTATTTAAATCCGCGGGGGATATTTAAATCCCCCGCGGATTTCCCTATCCTGACTTACCTGATTTGCATGGCTTTTCCGGAAATTGTGGCCAGTGTAGACGTAGCCTAGGTGTGTAAGGAGGCATTAAAAAGCCCTTTCTTTCCCAAGTGAGGACTATGCATTCACAAAAGGAGCATCTACACTGCACCTGAAGCTCAAAATATGCCATGCAATCTGAGCTACTCAAATTGTGTAGCTTATTTCAAGTCAATTTCAAAATTTGGCACCATCTACACAGCACTTATTTCAAAATAAATTGCTATTCCAAAACGTCCCTTACTCCTTGTGGAATGAGGTTTACAGGGACATCAGAAGAGCGAGCCTGTTATATTTCAAAATAATGGGCATGCTCAAAAGATGCGGAATAGCTATTTCAGGATACCTCCGGTATCCCAAAATAACGCTGCAGTGTAGACATAGCCAAAGACTGGGAATTGTGACAAAGTTTTCTCCTTTATAAAGATGGCACTTAACCCTTTGCTCAC